CATCTATTCACCTAGGCCCCCCAGGGGAGGGCAAGAAATAAAGGGCACAAGCTGATTGAAGATTGCTTCAGGCTAGACATAAGGAAAAACTTCTTTACAAGTCAAGTGCCAAGGGTTTGGAGCAGGTTCCCCCAGAAGTGATAGTCATTCACTCTGGCAATCTTAGAAAAATGTCTTGATGCCCATCTTGCTGGGATCATTTGATCCCAGCAGTCTTTCCTGCCCACATGCAGGGGGTTGGACCCGATGATATGTAAGGTCCCTTTAGGCCCCTAACAACTATGAAACTATGACAGAATCTCTGCAGAAAACAACTTGAGGTTTACAGTGGACAGTAAGATGAATATGAACCAACTGTGCGCCCTGGTTGTCAAGAAGACTAATTACGTACTGCACTGCATTAGTAGGAGTATTGCCAGCAGATCAAGAGACATGATTATTCCCCCCTATTCAGCACTGGTGAGGCCACATCTGGAGAACTATGTCCAGTTTTGGGCCCTCAACTACAAAAAGGATGTGGACAAATTGAAGAGAGTTTAGTGGAGGGCAACAAAAATGATTAGGGCACATGACTTATGAGGACAGTCTGAGGAAACTGGGCTTACTGAAAACTTTTACACATGCTTTGGGGGTGGCACTTTAATTAGAATGGCTCCGAGAGCCTCCCTAATTAAAGCGCTGCAGCATCTTGTATATCAGTGTCCCCAAGCTTCAAAATGGCAGTGGGGGTGCTTGAACTAAAGCTTATTCGACAAGCTTTAGTCTATACACCCCTGCAGCCATTTTGAAGAGCGTGGACACTGATACATGAGAGGTAGAGACTGGCTGGAGTGCGGTAATTACCATGCTCTAGCAAATTTGATTAATCAAGTCTGCTCCGACACACTGTAATTACAGCACATCAGATCAGCCTTGCAGCACAATATAGGATTCTCCTTCTTCCATCTCCTGCTCTCTGTCTCAGACCAGTCTTTATACCCACTGGCCATTCACCTTGTTAGTCACTTGACCCTGGCTGGTCAGGGTAACACAGGTGTCACTCATCTGCAGGGATCCCAATTTTCTCTGATAAAAAAAAAAATACTACATTTTTGGATGTAAAAAATAACCCTAAATCCCCATTTTACCATGTTTAAAATTAAACACTACTATTTATCTATCTGTAGTATGTAGTATGCACACACAAATACATATATATATATATATATACGTCAGAACATTTGGGATTTTTTTTTTTTAATCAGAGAAAACCAGGATCCCTACTCATCAGATGCTTGTAGCCTCTAATAGGGATGGTATGATAGGACTGGGCCCCAGCAGTGGCCAGGACACCCCCTAATGGCCATACAGCTCCTGCCCCATTTTGGTTCTTCTGGGTACCCTCCCTTTTTCCTCCTGCCTGTCATACCTGGATAGAATTATATTATTGTAAGAGAGAGGCTTTCCCAGGGTCCCAGAGCAAGCTCTAGCTTGTTTTTGGCCAGTGGATCCCCCCTATACCCAGCTGACACCAATCCTTCCCTTCAAGCCCTAAGTGGGGACCCCTCTGGGCCTGTCAGTGCCTCAGGGCACCAGTTGCTTTAAGGGATATTTGTGGCCCTCTGGCCCATCTGTCACACTCCAGTCAACCTGCCAGGCCCCTGGCCCTAGCAAGGTTCTCTATTTTCTGTGAGAGAGTGCCCCTGGACCTAATCCCTCCACAGGTTTGGCCCTCCTGGCTTAAGCCTGCTCTGGCCTTGGCTCTCCACCCTATGGGCCTCTGGCCCTCACATGACTGCAGTAGCCCTATCCCAGCTCTCAGCCTTCTGGGTCCCTGGCCCAGGCTGGGCTGCTTTCACTGCACTAGTCTTTGTACTTGGGGTCCCTGACCCCAAGCTGAACTACTCCCATTGGCCTTGGCTCTGCTAGCTTCAGCCTGTAACAGCCCATGGTCCTCTGGATCCCTAGACCTAGGCTAGGCTGCCTGACCCTGGCCTTAGGCCTCCCAGCCTTGGCCTAGTGCATCACACCAGCTTCAGTCCTCTAGGTCTCTGACCCCCAGCTAAGCTGTCTATTTCTCCAGGCACCTCCCTACCTCCCCCGTAGGTGCAATCTGGTCCTCTGCTGCTTAATCAGAACATATACATAAGCCCACTGGCTGTATAACAAAAACTCTCCCCACACTAGGTCATAACTTCCCTGCAAGCTACAAGTCCCTGTAAAAGGGGGGGCCTTTTCGGGGCCCATCTACCAATGGCCCTGCCCACCTGCTTCTGGGCCAACTGCCTACCTTCTCACCTGCTATGCCTTGTTCTTAATTAATTAAGAATCTTAATTAGGCAGGAGGCTGCCCATTTTCTTGCCCCGATGCCAGGGGGCACTATCTGTGGCTCCATACCTCCCCTACACTGCAGCCCATGCCTTGCAGATGACATCCAGCTGCTACACTCACTGGCCCCACACTGGGCCCCAGAATCCTCCTATCAAGACCCCTTCGAGATCCCTCCATTAAGGCAGCCTACCCCACCTTCATTCAGGCTATCTAGCTCCCTGAAACTATTTTCCCCTCTTGGGTGTGGTCCCCCCAGGACCTTTGGCCATACAGGCCCTGGCCTCACCTCCAAGGCCAGTCAGAAACTCCAGGCCCTCTTAGCTCTGGGCATCCTTTGTGGTGGGCCCCTGGCCCTTTTGACCATTATGGTCCTGGCCCCAGCATTAACCAGTCAAGGGTACTCTCTCGATCAGGTCTGAGTCTCTAGCCCCACTCTATCTCTGGGGTCTGCCTTCTGGCCCTATTAGCAGGCAACCCACCCAGTTGTGGGAGCTGCGGTTAAGGCACCCCGACCCACTTTTCACCGGGGTGGTAAGTGGCCTGGCATTTCCTGGGGTCTCCCGCACCACTGAGAGCCCCACCAGGCCACCAAATCCCAGCAGGGTGAAGTTTTAGGTCATGCCCGGGACCAGGAGTGTCCTAGCCATCCCCTACAGCTCCTCCCTTACCTCCAGAGTGTTCCAAGAAGCCTTACAGCCAGGCAATGTTGCTACCTGTCCTACCAGAAGGGAACTGAAAGGTTTATATAGGCAACCAGGGGTCTAAAATGGCTGTCACAATCAAGCACCTGCTGTCTGTTTGGCTCTGATCTTAAAGTGGCAGGTACAAACAGTGCCCTGCCACAGACCCCTTTGGTAATTCACTTGCAGCTTGCAGGGGCAGCTTAGGTGCCAGTCAATCCTTCTTGTGAAGTCATCTTGCTGAAGAGCTCCTCTCCCTGCTGTCTGCAGGGAAAGACTGACCACCTGGTCTCAGGCACTGGCCTTATGTGCCTCCAAAGCCCCACCCCTTCCTGTCAGGTAGTTCTCTAGCCACCCGCCAGGGTTTCCATTTTTGCCCTTCTCTACAGCAGCTTCTCTCAGCTGCTTGCAGCTTCTACTCCTATGCTACCTAAATATCTGCCCATTAGCTGCTTACTCTGGAGCAACTAGCTCCAGGGCAGTCTCTCCCTAAGTGGTAACTTCTACCTTGTTGTCACTGGTTTGCTGCTTTCTGACAGCTAGCTCTCCAGCAGCTAGTGTGATTCCTAACTGAAGCCCCCTCCTCCCACAGCCAGTTTAACCCACTGCAGCTTCCCTTAAAGCGAGAGAAGCCTCTGACTCCCTGTTACAGATGTGTCTGCAGCCCAGCACCAGCTTACATTGCCTCAACTCAGCTTTGTCTCACAGTGTTTTCCCAGTTAGAGGAGTACCACCTCCTGCTACAACGTTAAAAAGTTATTTTCTTTAGCTGGAACAATTCTGACTCATCTACAAGGGAGTTACAGACAGAAAGTCTTCCTGAGGTTAGGATTCAAAGCTAAATATTAGTATCAGTACCATCTTTCTATGTTGTTCGCAAAGTGACAATATGTCTCTGGATGAGCTTAAACATGTTGCTTGTTATCAAGAGCAGTCAAGGAGAAATTGGGGAGGAGGGGTGTATGTGCATGTGTAGACAAATAATAGAGAAAAGCCATGAACAAATGTAATGCTTTTAACTGCTACAAATGCCACAGTGCTTTGAAGCACTACAGGCATGGACAGGTAATGCCCCCCTGTCAAGAACTCCTAGGGCATTTATACACATACTTTTCTGTTTCATAACACACCAGAGTTCCACTGCTTTGGAGCAGACTCGATTAATTGAGTCTGCTCCACATGTGAACTGAAGCGAACTGTGGTGCACTACGTGCAATTGTATAGGTGGTGAAATGCATGTCAGCGAGACATGTGAGACTAGTGAGCTAGTCACTTTACAGAAGTGAATAGGTAAAACCATTCTCATCTAAATAATGCATTCAAATCATTCTAACCTAACCAATGGGACCAATAATTGGATAACCTAATCTCACTTTTTTCCCCCTCCATTTATGGTAGTTTGCTGGGTTTAGTTTCAGTCCTGTGGAGTTTAAGGTACCATGGACTAACCAATTATAAGGGCAATTTTAAAAGTACATATTTAGCAACATGCAGCCTCAAAACAGTAGAATTTCACTAATATATATTATACTGAACAGCTCATTCACACAAATTTGGCTCTAAGCAAATATATAATGACAGCAAAAAGTGTTTAGGTTATGTGTTACTTGTCTACACAGAAACCAAAACAAGGAAGTCAGTTTTAATCCATATATTTCATTACAAGTCTGAGAACACTTATTTCTGAATAATATTCTATTTTGATTTAAACTTCAGTGAATTAAAACTAATTTTGTCATTTTAGCCCCATTTTTGTGCAAAAAATGCAAACATTTTTCAAAAAAAAATATTCAGTAGCACTATTTCAAAGCACAAGCACAAAAATGATTAACATCAAACTAAGATGCATTGCCCTAGTTTTCCTATTGGTTTTTCTAAAGTTTTAATTCTCACAATTCAGTAACCTGCACTGAGTTCATTTTCACTGTTCATTCTTCTGATAAGATGGATGGCAAAAATGGAAATATGATTATATACTGTACCTTGTTTTACCTGTAAGGAACACACACCTGACAAAAAGCAATCTTCACATCCAGGGTAGGTTCACTGCAGTAGTACAAGAAATGGCGGCTCATAAATACCTACATTTAAAAAAAAAAAAGGAGAGAAATATATCAAAATCCAATTTATGTTACTAATCTGGGATTATAATATCCATTGATTTGCTTTAAGGGCATAAAAACATCATTTGAGTTATCATTCTATAAGGAAATAAGAGACCAGATGGCTCAATATAATTATAAGAAGCTCTCAAACCTCCCAGCCATTGGTGACAGTGGCCTGTCTAGAAACTTCCTAACTGATTAGGTTCAAGTCTGCCTTGTTTGGAGTAAAATCAAGGTATCCGAGTTCTTAGATGTCAATTATTCTCATTTGGTCTATTAGTCCAATCTGAAAAATACCACGATTCCTTTTTGAACAACTAGTCTTCAGCTCTATTTGTGGTATCATTCCAAAAATGGAGCACCTCTGTAAAGACAAAAATGTATTCCCAATACTCCCCAAATTAGAAGCTTTACTTCAGCAGCAGACTGAAATCTCCATTGGTTTTGCTGCCAAAAAAACAGAATGCACCAAGAGAAATATCAAAAAATTAATTGCACCAAGTAAAAAATTCACCAGACTTTAACTAAAAGTAGAGAAGTATTGCAGAATTTCAACTCTGCCTTGTAAATTTAATAAAGTTACTTTAAAAGTAAATCATAAAATATCATGTCTTCACTTGATGGAGATACTGTCATAGCCCTGAAATTTTACTTTGTGTTTCTCAGGTATTTACTTAACTTTAATAACAACTGATGAGCTGAAATACCATGAAATAGAGTTGAATTTACTGGAGTTGTTATCACCAGGACAGAAGAAATTCTGAAAATCAAAGTTTCCACCCAATGCTTGCAACCTGAAATGTACCATGTATTCCCATATGTACTTAATTTTTAATGAATGAATGAATGATCTTGTTATGAAAGTGAGTGTATGACCTTTTCTGCATCACATTACAATATCTCAGATTTCTGCCTCATTGCTCAATGAGTCATTACTGAAGCTTCACTTTCCACAGATATATAAAATAAAGAAGGCTTCTTTATAAAATAAAGAAAGCTGTTAACATTAGTCATATTCTCAGTGAATTCTCAGTGAGTTCTGGAAACCTAGCAAGTAATTATGTTCTCACACTTTAGAGGTTTAAAGTATGTTGTCCCATTAAAACAGACTGTCTCCTGAAGCATTATCTTGATAGCAATAGTCAGCGATTCAGATAGCATCACTCATTGAAGATGGCACCTAATAATGGACAAAGAATAAAGGATGGTACAAGAATTTGGGAAAACTTAGCGCATCATGGGATTTGATGCAGGGGTATATGAAAAAGAAATTTCATGTTGTGAATGCACTGGTAATCATGTACAGTTCCTCACATTTCCACTGGAGTGATTGTAATAGCTAACAGTCATCCTGAACAGAGCAATAAGCTAGTGAATTTTATGAACCAGAATACATTTAAGAATTTATTATGTTGTCCTCATGTGCAGTCACTGCTTATAAAATAATAGAATTATGATATTTTTAATGGCCTAGATCAATACTTAAATTCCTCTGTACTTGAGAGCTGCTAAATGAGTCATGAATCTAGCTGCTAGATGAGTCGGGAATCTTCACATAGGCACACAAAATGAAAATATGCTTTTTGGCTGGAAGATCTACAAGATTACAAACATGAGGCAAAGGGAAATAGGCTACATAGGTAAACATGACTTTCACTGCAGATCTGCAAGTAGTTTCTTACATGCAATGTTATACTGGACTTCCACCAACCAACAAATAATTCTATTTTTTTAATTTCCTGCTACAGAAACTACATTAACATTCAATTGCTGAAATATGCTGAACCAAACCCTCATCTTGTGTAATCTTGTACAGCCTCACTCAAGAAGTCATTGGAGGTTTGACAAGCTAACCCAGCTAAAGATCTGGCCCACCGTTAACGCAAGCATCCATGACACAAAGCATCTACGACGAAGTTCATGAAATGGTAACAGATTACCGAAACAATGGTCAGAATACATGACTGGGAGGCAAGCACTCTTGAATTTTAAGCCTATCTATGATACTGCTTCCCAATTCCTCTGACATTAAAAAAAGCAAGGCAGACAGGGCAAGGCTAGCAGAAGAAAGGGCTGTGAAAATCTAACCTAATGCACAACAAGGTAACAGAGAGGCCAGCCAACTGAACATCACAGCTCTGGACATCCTGAGGATTCTTTTACCCTTTCAATGGAATCATAGCAACAGGATAGCACCCCAACACCTCCATCAAGACTGGGACCCCTTAAGACAGTGAATAATTTCTGCAGAGAAGATCATATGATATATATCTGCCAAGATAAAACAAGAAAACACAACTGCCAACAGGGGGAAAGGTAGGACAAGAAAATAAGTAGGAAGATTAGGTGATTCCTGAGCCTGCGCTTTTCCAGGCTGAAGAGTCTCATGGCTCTCAGTCTCTCATCATAAGGTCTGTTTTCCTGACCTCTGATCATGCACGTGGCTCTCCTCTGCACTCTCTCAAGCTTCTCCACATCCTTTTTTAATTGTGGAGCCCCAAACTGGATGCAGTACTCCAGATGTGGCCTCACCAAGGCCAAGTACAAGGGGAGAATGACGTCCCAGGATTTGCTTGAGAAGCATCTATGGTTGCAAGCCAGTGTTTTGCTCACTTTACTAACCACAGCATCACATTGAAGGCTCATGTTCATTTCGTGGTCAGTCATGACCACCTAAGTCCCTTTCGTCCATAGTGCAAACAGCATAGCACTGCCGAGCCTATAAGCATGCTGCAGGTTTTTCCTCCCAAGGTGGGGAACCTTGCATTTTTCGGTGTTAAACACCATCAGGTTCTCGTCCGCCCATTTGCTGAGCCTGTCAAGGTCTACCTAGATCACCCTTCTGTCCTCAGGTGTGGATGCTTTTCCCCAGAGTTTGGTGTCATCGGCGAACTTGGCCAGTCCACTTCTGACACCAATGTCTATGTCATTAATGAAGATGTTAAATAGTGTAGGGCCTAGAATAGAGCCTTGAGGGACCCCACTGGTCACAGCGCACCACGACAATTGACTTCTGTCAACCACCACCCTCTGAGTCCTACCGCAGAGCCAATTCCCCAGCCAGCAGATCGTGATGCAGCTGAGGCCACAGTTAGCCAGTTTTGTCAAGAGGTGATCATGGGATACCAGATTGAAGACTTTTTTAAAGTCAAGATATATGACATCAATCTCTATGTACCTTGTGCTTGTTCTTCAAGTAGCAATACAAATTCCCTATCAAACCATAACCTCCTTTTCTCTTTTAAGTGCCCCCCCACACCCAAAAAAAGACTACCCTTGAATTGCTGCTCATCAGATTGCCAGGATGCTGGGGTGCGGGGGGGGGCTGCCAATAGGGGCTGGGGGGTACAAATGGGGAATTGGGCCAGGAGGGGGAGGCCGATGGGGCCACGTGGGGCAGCAATCCAGGGGGCTGGGGGAGCAAGTGGGGGTGGGGCATGTGGGCCCTGCAGGGGAGGTGCTAGCCCCTGTTGGGGGCAGCAAAACATATAGGTATTTAGAATTGACTTTATTATGATGAAAAAGACACTGGTAGGCTTCCAAATTGCTTTAACACTGTAGATATATCAATAAAACATTGCACAACTGATCGCTGAGTCTCTGTCTCCCTTACTCTCTGTCTCCCTTACTCTCTCTCTATCTCTCTCTCTCTGTGTGTATATATATATATATATATATATATATATATAGTGGTCTTTTGTTTTAATTGTGGAGGAACATGGATTTGGGGGTATTTTACAGAATGACTTTGGGATTTTTTTTTTTTTATCAGGGATTGTTCAGTTTTCAAGTAGGGAACACCATGATTTCTGCTAGGGAGGCAAGTGGCAGGACCCAGGCAGAGGAGCCTGCTCAGAGCTGGCACTTTGGACCCAGCTGGAGGTAGCTGACCTCCTGGCCAATTGGTGCCAAGAGAACATGCTTTGACAGTTCAAAGCAGGCCACCACACTGGGAACATCTTCTGGATGACTGCTTCCTGGATGTCTGGGCAGGGGCACACATGGCAGTATTACTGCACAAAGGCCAACCCTGCAGCCACAGCCCACTAGCAGCTGGACCAGAGGTGCAGATGCCTCTACTGGCTGTGAAGTCCCCATCTGGGTCTGGTAGGTGCACAGCAGGTCACAGCCAGGCAGCAACCCCCACTGCCAGACTGCTGCAGTGGGTAGAGGGTGCAGGGAACTCTCAGGGCTGCAGATCTGGGAGAAGATAGGGAGGGTTATTTTGGCTCAAGTGGCATAATTTGCCCCACACCAAAGTGCATGTCCAAACACATGCGCTGAGGCAAAAAGCTCCAGCTCAAGTTTGTACCACTTCTATTTGAGCTGCTGCAAGTACATGTACCTGCATGTGTGGATGCGCCCCATATGACCTTTTTAGGCTTGGCAGTGTAAAAGCCATGAGTTCTTTAGCAATGCTAGACTGCTTTTTAGCCTAGAAGAGAAGGAATTTTCATTTGAACAGAAAGTTAGATTACCTCAACTCAAATATGAGAGGTTTTGAGTGTGATTAAGGAATGAAGTATGTCATGTTATCAAAGACAACCCTAAATACAATACGAAGTATGACAAGATTAAAAACTATGGGAAAGGTAGTTGTCAAATGGAGAATTTAAAATCAGAGCTGCAGGGTACCCCATGATATGTCATAATCTTGCCCCAGCCTCCTGTTGTGTGATGATCTCAGTATTAATAATGTATAATTATAACCTTATCAGAAGAAAAAAAAAAGTTAAGTATTTCTGCATATAAATCATTCCTACTGGAGAGTAATCTGTGAGTGGGGATGAAGGGCTGAATGTAACCTCATGACTTCAGAGGTGTTCATCTAACTGTATGAATGAGGAATAGTAAGAAACAGCTTCTACTACCTCAACATAGTTGACATATGCAAAGATATTAGAAAATTCAAGGACTGGAAATAAAAATGGCTTCCTTGCTTCTTTCATAAAAAACCCTGTTTTCCCAATAATAGG